TGGAAGGTGCTTGCTGGGGGGAGGGGAGTGGTCGGGGAGGGGGAGGGCGGAGACGGGAAGGGCGGGGAGGGGGAGGCGGGAGGGGGAGGGGGAGTGGTGAGGGGTGGAGAGGGAGTGGGTGATGGTGTTGCCGTTGCTGCTGAATCTGATTCACGTCCTTCTGTCTGCATGCCGTCAGCATCATCCTCATCAGCATCATCAGCAGCATCAGCAGCTGGAGGAGCAGCAGCAGCAGCAGCAGCAGCGGCGGCGGCGGCAGCGGCGACAGCGTTGGCAGCAAATTGGGCCTCTAATCCGAGGAGGTCCATGTGCTCTGTCTGTAATGCCCATAGCTTGCTCTGCAGCTCCTGCAACGATGGCATGCGCTGATGCAATGGCCTTGATGGACAGCCAGATTGCACCAGAACGCTGGATGGATGGCTGGATAGGGATGGGTTATTTGCTTATGGTGATTGATTGGAGTTAGGAGGGCTATTGGGGCGGTGGGGGGCGGTTTGGGTGTAATGGGCTGGTGGGTGATGGCTGAGGGGAGCTGGTTGGAGACAGGTGGGAGGGGTTAGTGGGTGGCTGTTGCGGTGGGGGGGAGTTGGGACAGGTGGGCGAGGAGAGGGAGGAAGGGGGGTGTTGGGAGCAGGCAGATGGGGGAAGAGGCTGCTGGGATGGTGGGAGTTGGAACCGAGAGGAGGGCTGAAAGTGAGAAGAGTGGGAGGGCCGAGGGTTGTGGGTCCAAGAGGGGTGGCGGGGGAAGAGAGGGGGTTTGGGGGCAAGGGGAGGGCGGGGGGAGAGAGGGGGCTTGGGGGGGAGTGGGGGGAGGGAAGGAAGGAAAAAACTGCGAGGTTTGCGGCTCCTTTGCCCCCTGGGCCACAGAGAACCAGCCCGGCCGGTTTCATTGAGGATGGGGACGTAGATCCAAACATGGAGAAGACAACTGCACGAAGAGAGGGGGGCGGAGGGGGTCGGAAGGGCAGGGGAAGGTGGTTACGAATGGGTGGTGTGAGGTTGGCGACTCCTTTGCCCCCCGGGCCACGGAGAATAAGCCCAGCTGGCGTCATGGGGGTTGGGGATGCAGTGCCCCACATGGAGAAGAGGTAGCGTCTCCCTCCCCGCAGTCCTCCTCACAGCCCCCTCAGCAGCCTTCAACACTTCCGCGACAGGTTACTGTGGACTCGGTCGGTGTTGGAACTGGAGGTGCAGCCACTGGTGGTACTCGGTCTAAGGGTGCTTGTTCGAGGGGTGCTGGAGTTGGAGGTGCTGGCGCAGGTGGCGCTGGCTCTGGGGGTGCTGGAGCTGGAGGTGCTGGCACTGGAGGTGCTAGTTCTGGGGGTGCTGGAGCTGGAGGTGCTGGCACTGGAGGTGCTAGTTCTGGGGGTGCTGGATCTGGGGGGTGCTGGCACTGGAGGTGCTAGTTCTGGGGTTGCTGGGGTTGGGGGTCCTGACACTTGGGGTGCTAGGACAGGGGGCGCTGGAACTTGGGACCCTGACCCTGGTGGTACCCCGTCTGGGGACACTGGTACTGGGGGTGCTAGTTCTGAGGAGACTGGAGCTGGGGGCACTACGTCCGCAGAGAGCACTCCGCCTCCCCACCACCACGACACGCGTTTCCAGGCGGCCTGCCGGCGTGCGCGCGAGGAGCAGGAGCGGTTGGAGCGGGAGCGGCAGGAGATGCGGCAGTTGGACCTGCTGGATCAGCAGTAGCAGCAGCAGCCACTGCAGCCCGTGGTCACACCAATGAGTGGCCTTCATGCCCTTGGTCTTCCCTCTCCTCCTGCTGTCCACCCGCAATCACTGCCCGCTTACGATCCTACGTTTCCTCCTCCGGGCTCGTCTTCGGCTGTTTTCCCTCCTACTAAGTCACAGTTACCTCCTCCTGTTGTCCCACACGGCTGGACCGCTCGTTGTCCCCCGCGTGCTCGTCCCTCGTCTCCTCTTGCCAACCTCCATACCGCCTTGTTTCGTTCCAGTCCTCGTCATGCTCCTCCTGTGTCTGTTCTCCCCTCACCTGCTGAGTTGGCTCTTACATCATCTCTCTCTACCCCTATCACTGACTACTACTGTAAGGTGCGTCCTGTTGTCTCGTGTGTTCTCTCCTCTCTTGTCACCGACCCTCGTGCCTCTCCGTCGTCTGTCTCCGCTCTCACTGCCACTGTCACTTCCTTTGCGTCCACCCGCCTCCTTGACTTTGCCACCCGTGTCGTAGCTGCCCTTCCTGCCCGTCCTGAGGCCGTCGGGGGTGGGTTTGCCCTTGGCTGTGACGTCCTAGAGGACAGGCAGTTTGAGCTGGAGTTCATGTCAGCTGCTTCCCCCTCTCTCTGTGCCATGCTGCTTTCCCCTGAGGGAGACCCCGACGCCCTTGACATACCGACTCCTCGCACGTACCGTGAGGCAGTGTCAGGGGAGTGGGCCTCTCAGAGTTGGCTTCTTGGAGATCCACAGGCACCTACGTCGACGCTGTTTCTCCTCCCGGGGCGAACAATGTCGATGGCATGTGGCTCTTCAAGGTGAAGCGGCCGCCTGGATCACCGCCTGTGTTCAAGGCACGTTACGTGGCTAGGGGCTTTATTCAGCGTGAGGAAGTTGACTTCTTCCAGACCTTCTCCCCGACCCCGAAGATGACTATTCTTGGGGTTTTACTCCACGTAGCAGCACAGCGAGACTACGAGCTGCACTCCCTCGACTTATTCACTACTTTCCTACAGGGCCGCTTACACGAGGAGATCTGGCTGTGCCGTCCTCCTGCTTTCACTAACACCTTCCCACCTGGGACTCAGTGGAGCTTGAGACGGCCAGTCTATGGTCTCTGCCAGTCGTCCTGTGAGTGGCACAACACTCTGCGCTCCACGCTTCGTGACCTAGGGTTTCGTCCCTCCTCTGCTGACCCATCGCTGTTTGTTCGCACTGGCTCCACTCCCTTCTTTATCCTTGTCTACGTCGACGACTTGGTGTTTGCTACAACTGACAGGGGCAGCACTGGCAGAGGTGAAATCCGAACTGCAGAAGAGACACACGTGCACTGACCTCGGTGAGCTGCAGCGCTACCTTGGCCTGCAGTCACACATGGTGCAGCAGGTCCTTCGGCGGTTCGGGTTTCAGTTCTCCACCACACAGCCCACTCCTCTTGCTGTAGACCACAGACTCACCGGCCCCTTCTCCGACGAGCCCTTCGAGCCCAGTGGTCCCTACCCAGAGCTTGTTGGCTGCCTCATGTACCTGATGACCTGTACTCGCCCGGACCTCACCTGCCCTCTTAGCGTCCTCTCTCGCTTTGTTGGACCTGGGAGGCACCGTCCTGTTTACTGGACGGCTGCCGTGAGGGTGGCGAAGTTCCGGGAGACTACATCAGGCATGGGGCTTGTGCTTGGAGGGACTCGGCCAGTTAAGCTGACTGGCCTCTGTGACTCTTCTTACGTTGACGACGTGGAGACTCAGCGCTCGACCCAGGGTTACTGTTTCAGTCTAGGAGCTGGGGCTGTCTCGTGGAGGTCCACATGGTCGTCGTCGGTGGCTTCGTCCAGTGCAGAGGCAGAGATCTACGCCGGTGCTATGGCTGCTCAGGAGCTTCGCTGGTTGACCTTCTTGCTCGTTGGCCCTGGTGAGCGACCTCGCACTGCTCCGACCTTGTTCGCTGACAACAAGGCCATGATTCTCTTGTGTCGCGAGCCTCGACTGGAGACCAGGGTGAAGCACATCGACGTCCGGTACTTCCTCCTGCGTGAGCTACAGCGACGCGGCCAAGTGCGCCTGGACTTTGTGGCCTTAGAGGCCAACACTGCTGACCTCTTCACCAAGGCCTTGACGCCTGGTGATCACCACCGCATCTGTGTGCAGTTAGGGCTTGTTAAGGCAGGTCCTCGGTTGTTGTAGTCTTGTTGCTTCCTCTGCTTGTTGTGCTTTGCTATTATATGTCCTAATGAACTCTTGAACTGGCCTTGTGACCCCTTGCTTGTGCTCGGAATTTGTGTGGTGTCCTTGAGATCCACCCTGAGCTTGCTTTGCTTCTTGCATTGACTGGTCTTGTGACCGTTTGTTCATTCTGCTTGCTTTGATGCCCCTCACTTAGCCTATGGGGGTGTGTCAAATGTTGATATTTGTGATAGGCTGTAGTGAGGTGCTCTTTAGTGAGTACAACTCAGTTAGGGTTTGCTATTTGTATCACCCACATTCCTAATCTCATCATTCTGTTGCACTCATACTTTGAGATTACGGTACTGTTGTCGCTTTTGTCAACCGCTTCGCTATAGTTTGGTTGACTCGGTGTTGCTTCGCTGTGGATATGCTTCTCTATGTGACGACTGGACGGGAGGCACGGAGGTAGTCAGACAACTGGTCGAGGAACACAGTGTATTTGTGCCCATCTCCCTTGCTACTCAATCCATTCCGTACTTCGAGACTCTATCAGTTCTTATCCAGGGTGGGATTTCAAAAACTTGTTTTTTGGTAGGGTGGAAATTTTACTACCTTGGCAAAATTAGAGCAACTCACAGAACACGGCAACCAACGAAGGTAGTCAGGGTGTTGTACCCTTCAAACGAGGGCGTGCCAGAGCCAAGTATTCCGCACCCTGGATGTTTTACCCAAAGCCAACATGAGGGCCCGAACCAGAACCCCACACGTATCCCGTGAATCTTGAACGTATTAACTTACCGGTACATTTTTTCCTATGGATCACCCATCTACCGTATTGAATATTTCAGGTAGGCAGAGTCTTACTCACAAGCCTACAGATGACTATGCATGAACATCAATCTCCACGTTATCTATGAGACGCACTGATCCGATATGGGCTGCCACTGCCAGCACAGCGGGGTGAGTGATGTGCGTGATAGGCTCCAGACTCTCCTGCTCCACCAGCTGTCACACCACAACATGCACACACAACAGATTAGTTACACCAAGAACATTCACACATGTACGCGGAGCTTTTGTGATGCGAGTAATGTAGCAACTGTGCAGTGACATCGTGGCATGGTGGAGGGCGCTGGGAGGGGAGCAAGAAGCTGATGCTACCAGAAAAAAAAAAACACAGCCCCGTCACCATCCCTTGCTGCTTCGTCTCCATCCCATGCTGCTTCGTCTCCATCCCATGCTGCTTCGTCTCCATCCCTTGCTGCTTCGTCTCCATCCCATGCTGCTTCGTCTCCATCCCATGCTGCTTCGTCTCCATCCCATGCTGCTTCGTCTCCATCCCATGCTGCTTCGTCTCCATCCCATGCTGCTTCGTCTCCATCCCTGCCTACCTGCACATACTCCACTCGCCCCCCTGCCCCCTCAACCGTCTGCCTCACTCTCTCCACCACCGCGCTCGCCTCTGCCGCCTGTGCGCGCCCCTCGCCTCGCTCACTCTCGCCTGTCCCGCTGTGAGCTGCCTCCAACGCTGCCTTGGCTGCCAGCAGCGCTCGGCTGATGGAGAGAGCCTGCCATGGATAGGGTCATACAGACAGGCAGCATGGCAGGGGCACATGGGCAGCATGGCAGGGCCTCACAGGCAGCATGGCAGGGCAGCAGGGTTAGGCATGCAGTTGGCCCATCCAGCAGCACGGGGATGGTGGAGGAGGAAAGGGATGACGAAGGAAGGGAGAAAGAGGGTGTGCCACATGCTTTGATACGGTTTCATAATGTGGACTGTAGCATTATGTGGACTGTAGCATTATGTGGACTGTAGCATTATGTGGCACATCACCACAGCACAGCCCCTAGTGTGCATGCCATCGACCGAACCTATTCATCAACCTCTTCGTCTTCCAACCATACTCTCACTGCCCAACACAGTGAACCTGGCTGGCCGCATCTGCTGCCTGTGCTCACCTGCAGCCTGTGCTCCGGTGAGAGGCGCACGTTGCAACTGCTCATGGCCAGCCCATCCGCCTTCTAGGTGCCATGCTCTCACTGCCCAACATACTGAACCTGCCTGGCCTCGCCTCACCTGCAGCCTGTGCTCCGGTGAGAGGCGCACGTTGCGGCTGCTCATGGCCAGCCCATCCGCCTCGCGCAGCAGTGGCGCGCCCACCACCTGCACCGCCATGTCCAGATCGCGCACCTGGGGCACCAGAGCAGCAGTGAGGGGAGGGAGGGGGGGGGGGGGGGGAGGGAAGGTGAGTGTTGAGTCGATTCAAAAGAGGCGCGCCCACCACGTGCACGGCCATGTCCAGATCGCGCACCTGGGCGGGGGGGTCATGGGGGAGCAGAGCGGCCCAGCACAGCAGTCATTCTTGCCAAACACGACGGCATCCGGATCCACAATGTGCAGCAGCTCAGCTTCACCACCAGCATTGCCACGCCACGGAAGAACAGCAGCAACCTTTTGAATCACCTTAACACTCACCATGTGCTGGATGAGGCGCCACAGCTGGTAGTCCTTCTTGCCAAAAACAGCAACATCTTGTTCCACTATATGCAGCAGCTTCGCCACCACCGTTGCCACCCCCCCCCTGTTCCACTCACCATGCGCTGGATGAGGCGCCACTGCTGGTAGTCCTTCTTGCCGAACACAGCAACGTCAGGCTCCACGATGTGCAGCAGCTTCAGCACCACCGTCGCCACGCCGCGGAAGAACACCGGCCGCCCACCCCCACACAGCGGCCGCTGCAGCCGCTCCACCGTCACCCACGTCTCGTGCCCCGCTGCCGCTGCTGCTGCTGTAGCTGCGCTTTCGGCAGAGCCAGGGGCGGGCGCTGCTGCTGCAGGGGGCTGTGCGACGGCGTGGCGGTGGTCGGGGGGCGCGTAGAGCGGGCGCAGGTAGAGGCCCGTGGGGCCCACCACCGCCGCCCCTGCCACATCCTCAGGGCGGTCGTTGCGAGGGGAGAGTTAGGTGGGCAGGAAGGGGGTGAGGAGGGAGGGCAGGAGATGAGCTATGGGATTCCCCTGCCTTGTATCAGGGGTGAACGGGCACGAGAGCGCATGTAGGGATGGGAACTGGCAATTGGCTCGCCCAGCAAGCCTCCAGAAGCACCAGGTGGGGGTGGGAGGAAAGAGGAGGGAGAATGGTGTTGGAGTGGCGTACGTTGAGGAGCGAAGGATTGAGGGGATGAGCATGGAGCCTGGAGGGCATTGAGGGGATGAGCATGGAGCCTGGAGGGCATTGAGGGGATGAGCATGGAGCCTGGAGGGCATTGAGGGGATGAGCATGGAGCCTGGAGGGCATTGAGGGGATGAGCATGGAGCCTGGAGGGCATTGAGGGGATGAGCATGGAGCCTGGAGGGCATTGAGGGGATGAGCATGGAGCCTGGAGGGCACGACATGAGCTATGCTATTCCCCGGTCTTGTGTCATAGGTGAACGAGAGAGCATGGGAGGGACGAGGTTCAGGGGGCGTACCTTGATGAGGAGCAACATACCTTGAGGAAGTGAGGTGGATGGAAGTGAGGGGAATGGAAGTAAGTGAGGGGAAGTAAACACCGGGGGCGTACCTTGAGGAGGGCAAGATCGCGGGGGAGGTCGCGTGGGTATGAAAGGAGGTCCTCATGAGGGGCGAACTGCGAGGGGTTGACGTAGATGGACACCGCCACCACATCTGCCAGCGTAGCCGCCAGGAGTGCCGCCAGGAGTGCCGCCAGGAGTGCCGCCAGGAGTGGCATACCTTACCTTGAGCAGCGCACCTTGAGAAGAGCAAGATCGCGGGGGAGATCACGTGGGTACGAGAGGAGGTCTTCATGAGGCGCGAACTGCGAGGGGTTGACGTAGATGGACACCGCCACCACATCCGCCAGCGAGGCGGCGAGGCGCACGAGAGAGAGGTGGCCGTCGTGCAGATACCCCATGGTGGGTACCAGTGCCACTGTGCGCCCCTCGCGGTGCTGCCTGCGCGACCACTGCCGCATGGCGTCCTTGTCGCTGATCACCTCCATGGGCTTTTGAGAGCACGCGGTAGGGGGGAGTAGAGGGGGAGTATGGGGTAGGGGGAATGAGAGGGGGAGCATGAGAGAGAGGTGGCCGTCGTGCAGATACCCCATGGTGGGCACCAGCGCCACTGTGCGCCGCGCCCCTCACGGTGCTGCCTGCGCGACCACTGCCGCATGGCCTCCTTGTCGGCTCGGCTGTTACCTCCATGGCCTATTGAGAGCACGCGGTAGAGAAGCGAGAAGGGGAGCACGAGGAAGGGAAGCGAGAAGGGGAGCACGAGGAAGGGAGAATGAGGCATGGATCATGGCGCTTGATGAGAATGAGGCATGGATCACGGCGCTTGATGTGTCCTGTGCTGTGGATGCAATGCAATGCAATGCAATGCAATGCAATGCAATGCGGCAGGGGGTCATCACGATGGAGAATGTGTAGTGGGATGCACGCCCAGGTGCGACCAGGGGAGGGGAGGTGCGACTCAAGGTGGCGGCAGGCGCGAGGGGGCGAGAAAGGACGAGAAAGGATTCAGGGAAGTGAAGGCTCTTCCTCCGCCTTCCTCTTGGGGTAGTAGTGCTCGTAGTCTGCCCAGCGGTGAAAGACAAGGAGATTGGCTTGACAAACGCGGTGTTAGGGTTGAGAGCGTAAAAGATTGGAAAACAACCACGGAAACAGGTAAACGCATGACAGATTCCAAATGCGCTGCATGCACAAGAACCTGATTTCTTAACCAGCTTATAAAGCGTCAAATAGGCACTGTGCAGTTTCGACAGACGCGGACAGAGAGGACACGTGGCGGATAGAGACATAAAGGCGGTGGACGAGCATGCATGTGACAGGAGGGAAGGGAGTCGAGTTGAACTGACGGATGGGATGGGATGGGGCAGGAAATGGAAGGGGAGGCGAGGCGCGATGAGGAAAGGCGTTATGATGGGACCCGCGAAGAGGAGAGGGGGAGGCGCGACGAGGGGAGGGGGGAGGCGCGACGAGGGGAGGGGGGAGGCGCGACGAGGGGAGGGGGGAGGCGCGACGAGGGGAGGGGGGAGGCGCGACGAGGGGAGGGGAAAGGAGCGACGAGGGAAGGGTGGAGGCGCGACTCAAGGGGACAGGAGGCGCGACGAGGGGAGGGTAGGCGCGACGAAAGCAGGGGAGGCGCGATGAATGGAGTGGAGGCGCGACGAGGCGGGAAGCGACTATGGGAGGCGCGACCATGGCAGGGGAGACAAGAAGAGGGGAGGGGGGCATCGGCGACTTGAAGCCCCGCAAGGTGACTTTTGAGTTACTCACAGGAAAGTTGCGTCAGCTTCGATAGGTTACCGCGCAAGGCACATTGATCTCGAGGGTCGTTCTCGGGCGTGTGAAGGCGACCCTTACTGCACAAGAACAACGTGGCGCGATTTATTTGCACTGCGAAAATGGCTCGTTTGCATAATGAGCAAACTGCTATAATCACTCATTTGGTATGTCATTCTAGAACACCCAGTGAACGTAAGATTTTTGAACCCTAAACCCTGGATCCTACCCCCCGTAGGAGCAGTACACCCTAAAGCGCTTGGTGTAACATTCTCGAACCCTAAACATAAATCATTCCCCCCCCAAGGAGAGTATCTCAGTACACCCTGAAGTGTTGGTTGTAAGATTTTTGAACCCTAAACATCATAAAACCCTCCCTTAAAGGAGGGAATATATCAGTATGGTAGTGTTTGATGCGGTTGGTTACAGTAGTACAGCACTTGAGAAGATAGCAGTGCAGAATGATGTGCTCCATGTAATGGTCACAATGTTGATGCTGTCACCTGTCTCCTTTTCATCAGTTGGTCCACCATCTCTCTCACCCTCCGTTCGTGAGCACCTGCCCTTAGCAACCCGTCTGCCTCATCACCACCCCCACCTATGGCAACTCCATCACCGATACCCACACCAATGCCACTTGCATGCCTATCACCAGCATCACCAGCATCACCAGCATCACCCGCACCACCAGCACGGCCGCCCAATCTGGTCGTCACTTCAGCCGGTGGAAAACCCTCACCGACACCACTTGCAGCAATCACGTCAGCGGCACGCACAATGCCACGTGGCAGCATCTCATTGGCTACCAGACCATCAGACTCTGCCAGCCTCAGCTGCTGCCTCCTGCCCCCCGGGCCAAACCAATGCTCCGCTTTCTCCTTCCCTTCTCTCTCCACCCATCCTCTCTCAATTTCTTTCCTTTCCACGCCTCCCCTCTCCTCACCCTCTCCTCTCTCATCACCCTCTCTCCCACCACCACCACTCCCACAGCCCACACGCCCACCACCGCCATACCCATCACCCCATGCACTTCCCCGTGCCTTGCGCTTCACTTGCAGCCCACGCACCCACTCGTGCTGAGGGACAGGCTTATAAACAGAACCCGAGCCAGGCTTATAAAGAGGAAGTGGTGGATGTCGGGCAAGGCTGTGATGTGAATGGCTGTGGGATGATACAGGCAGGATGGGAGCAGGGAGCTTGTGATTGGTGCGGGAGGGAGAAACGGGCACGTGGTGTGAGGCTGGAAGCAGGTGGGAGTGTGGGAGCGGTTGGTTGATGGGGCCAGTGTGGGCGGATGGATGGGGGAGCTGCAGCAATGGAGGAGGAGGGGAGGGTGAAGGGGAGGGGGTGGGTCGGGACGTTAGGAGAGAGGTGCGAGGGGCAAAAGCAGCCGCAGCAGCAAAGGAAGGTGGGGAGGAGCGGAGGAGATTGAGGGACGTGGGGAGACCGGGGATGGGCACAGTGATTGCATGCCATGCCCTGCTGTGAGGATGGGATTGGTATGGCTCTAGTGTGTTAGGCCAGGAAGCAGCAGCCACTGCTTGGGTTGCTACTGCTGATGGTGCTGATGGTGCTGCAAGCAAAGGAGGAAGTTCTAATGTTGACGCGACCTCGTTCCCCCCCTCTCCTTCTGCTTCATCGTCCGTCAGACCATCACTTGTGGCACTCGTTGCAGCAGCACCACCCACCCATGCACTGCCACTCGTTCTAATGAGCTCCCTTACCATACCAGTCCCCACGAGGCCTTCTTGCCTCATCACCGCACTCACAGGCAGCATGCTGCCCAATCCCACTCCACCACTTTCCACCGCACTGGCTCCAACCTCCATGCGCACTTCTGCTGCCAAAGCTGCAGCCACCACACCAGTAGATTGCATTGAGGAAGCGAGGGGGGGGGGAGCAGCAGCGCGAGCAGCAGGAGGAGCAGAGGTTGCGAGGACAAAGGCAGTGAGGGGAGGGTCTGAGAAGAGAGCATCCAGGCGACGCATGAACACAGGGAGGAGAATGCGCGGCCACACTGGCACCACGCACAACCGCCCTGCACTCCTCGCACTCCCCACATCCCCTTGCTCCCCTCTTTTCTCCCCGCGCTGACCTTGATCCCCCCCACTCCTCCACACCACTCCACACCCCTCTGCCAGCAGTTGCTGCACCTGCTGTGCCAGAAGCACAGGAGGGGTCTGATCGCCCTGCAGCAGGCGAAGGAAGGAGTGGAGTGCGGTAGAGAGCGGGGCCAGCTGGGAGTGCAGCTGGGGGGCTAGAGAGGACAGGTGGGGCGGCAGGGAGAGGGTGGGTGAGGGGGACGAGGAGGGGGAGGTGAGAGATGGTTGGTGAGAGGAGGAAAGGTGGAGGGCGGGGAAGTGGGGTAGACGGAGAGAGGAGAGGGCGGTGGTGAGGTGGGAGGTACGAGAAGGGCTGTTCCAATCAGAGGGAGGCAGAGAGGCGGATAGTAAAGAGGCCTCTAGTCTACCAGCTGCCTCTGAAACTGCACTGTCCGCCTTGCTTCTGTTCTCTCCCATCTCACTGCCCCTGCTCTCTCCTGTGTGTTGCCTTTGTCTCTCTACCCCACGTCCCCCCATCAGCTGTAGCAAAGCAGGCAGTTCAGGCAAAGGGGTTCCACTGCCAAGGGGTGAGACTGCGACAGCTGTCGCGATGTCATTGGCCGCGCTGTCCAGGCTGGCGTTGAACTCAGTGATGCACTCCTGCGGCCGCACTAGTGAGGGGTCCACGGCCAATAGCCGCGTGACACGTGGCGACAGGTGGCGCAGCACGAGATCGCGGAGGGGGAGCGGAGCAAGCTGAGGTGGCAGAGGGGAGGAATCTGCCAACCAGCGCAGTCCACTTGCCAGGGCGATCTTGGCAGGCCAATCAGGAGGGGCCACGTCATCAGGTTGAGGGGGAGTAGTTCGGCCGAGAGGGAGGATGCGGAGAGCAGAGAGGCGGGGGGCTGGGGAGGATGAGGGCTGAGAGGGTGGTGGAGCTGACTGGGGGCCTGGTGGACGGGTGGAGGGGTGTTGGACCTGGGAGAGGGTGAGGGAGGCGAAGGAGGAGGGGACGGGCACAGGGGCACAGGGGCCTGTGGAGAGACACATGGACGCTGCTGCTGCTGCTGCTGCTGCTGCTGCTGGTGATGCTGGCGTTGATGCTGTTGCTGATGGTGGTGGCGGGTGGGGAGGCAGGACGAGGAGCAGCAGGGGGATGGGAGCAAGGGAGGTTGGGAGGGACGCCACGGCCTGTCTGATGTGCTGCACCTGGGGCTCTGCATTGCTGTTGCCGTCCACAACACACACCATCGCTTGAGCCCCTTCCATGAACCTTCCACCATCTCCACTCTGCACTTGTGCTGAGACCCGCCTCACCACAAGCCAGAAAAGCCAGTCGGAAGCCGAGCCTTGCCCCCGTGCTCGCGTGGTTTCACCTGAATCAGCACCTGAACTACCACCTGGCAGCTCGGGTGCTGCTTCTCCTGCTGCAGTGCGGTGTGGCATGGGAGCCACGTAGCAGGCGAGCAGCGACGGGTCAGAGGGCTGAGAGGCGGATGAGCCGCGAGGTGTGCTGGGTGGTGCTGTTTGATGCTGGAGGGCGTTGAGGGCGTGGGAGGGGGCGGAGAGGGTGCTGCAGAGCCAGTGTGTGGCGTCATGGAGTGGTGACGGCGTGTCCTGCAACACAAGCATTCACAATGGCAAGGCACCAAAGGTACTTGGAGCAGCATGCCTTTGTGCGGGGCTCACTTGGGATATTGTCGGATGGAGTTGGGTGTAGTGGGGTGGAGTGGGATGGAGTGGCTGATTGCCATCGAAGCAATAAGCAGGGTGTGGTGCGGCAAACAGTGTACGGTGATGATCCCAGTCAGGAGCACCAAACGGGGTAACACCTATAAAAATTTCTGGAGTGCACAATGAGAGGCATGATGGCATGCACGCGGCGCTTGTGGTACCTACCGTACCGCAGGCACCACACATGAACACACCTGCGACTCGCGTTCTGGCCAGCACACAAGAAGCTTCCACGAAACCACTCGGCGCGCACTCAGCAGCGGACCAGCGCTGCTGGATGGAACTTGCCTGCCCGCCAGCCTACCGCCCACCAGGCGTGCCACGTCCAGAGGAGAGAGCGCAGCAAAGACACTGGGAGCAGCGAAGGCAGTGGGAGCAGCGAAGCCTGTTCGTCCCCAAGGCGCTGATGGATGGAGGAACCTTGGGCCACCGGCACTGGGTGCTGCTAGGGCAAGCCGGCTATCTGCTGTAGTGCCCCCTCGGTCCGCGGCGCTCGCCTTGCCCAGTGCAGGCGGCCGCGGCCCCCATGTTGCTGCTCCCCGCAACCGCTTGTGTGGGGCTTGCTGCCATGGGCGGGAAGGAGGGCAGCACATAGAGAGCAGGGGATGGACAGGGGAACCGGCAGTGTGGGAGGAGAGACGCAAGATGGGCCCTTTCACTGTCCCGCATGTGGATTCTTAGCAGCCTAGAGTGGGTGCTCAGAACAGAACAAGAGTGCAGTGTGCATCGCTCACAGCAGCAGCTGTGCCTCGCCCACAGCACCACCAGCAACACACACACACTACCTTGGTGAATTCACTGGGTGTTTTTGAGGGTGATATAAAAAAACTCACTTACAGGAGCACCACCAGAACAGCACATCACCGTACCGCACAGCACATATTACCTTGGATGCTACCACAGTCGGCTGCGAAGCAATAGAGCCCTCCAGCTGCCAATCACTGACTGCCAGCTGGCGCAGCCGTCTCAGCTGGCCCTGCTGAGCCGCATTCTGCCTCCACCTCCTCACAACGCGCCGCAGCCACACACCCCTCGCCTTCCGCCCCGCCTCTTCCAACGCTGCCCGCTCCCTCTCCTGCTCCTCCCTCTCCTGCTCCTCCCTGACCCTCCTCTGCCTCTCCTCCTCCTCCCACTGCCTCCTCTCCCGCTCCTTCCTCTCCTTCTCCCTCGTAATGCTCTCCTGCCTCTCCTTCTCCCTTTGCTCCGCTTCCCTCTTCTCCCTCTCCACCCTCGCTCTCTCTTTTAAAATCCTCTCCCTCATCTCCATCTCTTTCCTTCGTCTTTCTTGCCTCACCTGTTCCTCCCTCTCCTTTTCCCTCCTCTCCCTCTCCGCTGCTTCTGCCTCTCTCTCCCGCCTCTTCTCTTCTTCCCGCACCCGCATCTCCTCCCTTTCCCGCGCCCTCCTCTTCTCCTCCTGCCGCTTCACCTGTGCCTGGATAGCAGCCCTCCTCTCAAGCTCCCTCACTCGCTCCCTCTCTCGCTCCATCTCCCGCTCTAATGCCCTCTGCTTCTCTTCCATTGCCTTCATCTGCTCCTCCCTTTGCCTCTGCTCCATCAACATTTTCTGCTGCTGCTGCTGCTGCTGCTGCTGTTGCTGCAACCAAGCCTGCTGTCGTCTCCTCTGCTCCTCTGCCCACTGCTGCCTCTCCACCTGCTCACCACCCTTCTCCTCCCCTCCACCCCCTCCTCCCGCCCCACTGCTGACCTCAGCAATGACATCATCAATAAACTGACTCTGCTTGCTGCGCACAAGGGCAGAGGAGGACGGGGGCAGGGGGGTGCCTGCCTGCAGCAGGGGCGCGCCCTTCACCAGGCAGCACCCGGCCAGCAGAACGGATGCGGGGAAGGCTGTATCTGGGAAGGTGGCATCTGGGGCGTCTGAGGGGTGCAGCGCCAGGCCGTGATGCTCCACCAGCGCCCGCAGCTTCTCTGGCTCTTGCTGGCGGGGGGATGGATGGGGGAGAAGAGGGAAGGGGGATGGGGGGCAAAGAGGGTGGGGAGTGGGGGGGAAAGTGGGAGGGGGAAAGAGGAGAGATGGGGAGGAGGGAGATAGAAGAATTCATGACAGGGGTTGTACGGGAGGGAAGAGGGAAAGAGGAACGAGGAGGAGATATCTAATAGCGCAACGCAATGAAAGGAGGAAAGAGAGTGAAATCCACACATCCAAACTGAGCCAGCCACCTCCCCGTACCTCCATGCCGTTTCTGCACCCCATTCCTCCACGGCGGGCCAGCAGCCCCTACCTTCATGCCAAGCCAGCATCCCATAATGCCATGCCGAGCCTGCACCCCGTACCTCCATGCCGAGCCAGTGTGCAAGTGTGAGAGCTGGCAGCTGCTGGCCCTTGGCAATGGATGAATACACCGCTGCCAGTGCTCTTGAACGCATCTGAGACAGGGGGCGGGGGGGAATGGGGGAGAATGGGGGAGGGGACGGAGTGGAGATGGGGGGGACGGGGGAAGGTAATGGATGGGAGATGGTGGGATTGGAGGGGCGATGGACGCGTACACTGCTGCCAGCGCCCTGGAACGCATCTGGGACAGGGGGAGAGGGGGAAAGATGGAGGAGCGGGGCAAAATGAGGGGAGAGGGGGGAGGGGCGGTTGATGCCAGTGCCCTGGCTGGAGCGCATTTGAAACGGGGGAAGGGGAAGATAGGCGGAGGGCGGGGAAAACTGGAGGGTGGTGAAGAGCAGTGCAGGTAAGGATCGTGTGAGACGAATGCAGCGCCGCCTGCTCATGTGTGTCTGCTGCAGCGCAGCGTACCTGTTGGGGCATGGCTGAGAGGGGGGCATGGCTGAGAAGGCTTTGAAGCGAGCATGGGAATGAGGAGGGAGGGGAAGAGGTTGGATTCGGGAGTGAATGCCTGTGAGAGGCAGTAACAGGGGCGCGCGGGGCAGCGGGAAGGTGCGACATCCAGGCATGTGAGGCTGCAATGCAACAGCACGCCCACGTGCAGAAACGCACATGGTGAACGGAGCGGGAGGGGGCGAGGGATGGGAGGGTACGTACACCGTGAATGAAGTGGTTTTTCGTCAGAATGATGACCATTTAATTGCCTAAACGTTCACTCGACCAGACCAATTGTCGTACATAGACAAGGGTGGGGTGGTTCGGCCTGAGCTGAGCTTGCAAGGTGGTTCGCAGGTACCTTGCTGAAGTGCGCGTGCATGAGGCAGGCCTGCAGGTAGGTGGCCTGGCGAGCCAAGCGGAAGAACGCCACAAAGTTGTGCGTGCGACACGCCCTGAGGGGAGGTGGATGGAGGGGAGGAAGAGGAGGGCAGTTGAAGGCTACACGTGAGAGAAGCAAGAACCAGGGAGGAGAGAAAGAAATAAAGTGAGCATTCAGAAAGGCAGCAATGGGAGGGGTGACAAGCGCATGTGAACCTCTCCCAGACTAGCCGGCCCGCCGCCACACACGCTATGGTACAGCTAGCCCCCACCCCACCCCACCCCACCCTGATACAGCAGCACTTGAAAGGTATGGAGGGGGGAGTACCTTGCAACGGAGCGAGCAAAGACGACTTCAGGACTGCTCCTGACGATGTGGGGGAGGAGAGAGAGCTCCCTTGCAAACTCTGCCGGCTCAACCTGTCACAGTCAGTCACAGTCACAGTCACAGTCACAGTCACAGTCACAGTCACAGTCACAGTCACAGTCACAGTCACAGTCACAGTCACAGTCACAGTCACAGTCACAGTCACAGTCACAGTCACAGTCACAGTCACAGTCAGAGTCAGAGTCACAGTCACAGTCACAGTCACAGTCACAGTCACAGTCACAGTCACAGTCACAGTCACAGTCACAGTCACAGTCACAGTCACAGTCACAGTCACAGTCACAGTCACAGTCACAGTCACAGTCACAGTCACAGTCACAGTCACAGTCACAGTCACAGTCACAGTCACAGTCACAGTCAGAGTCAGAGTCACAGTCACAGTCACAGTCACAGTCACAGTCACAGTCACAGTCACAGTCACAGTCACAGTCACAGTCACAGTCACAGTCACAGTCACAGTCACAGTCACAGTCACAGTCACAGTCACAGTCACAGTCACAGTCACAGTCACAGTCACAGTCACAGTCACAGTCACAGTCACACCACCATGCATTAGATCAGTAGAGTCACGTCGGCCCTCTGCCACAATGACATTGCAGTGACACGAAGCCAATGGAGTAATCAGATTTAAATATTCTCGGAGGTGGTTGCAAATTCGAGAACGCCACAAAAGCCACCGATGCCATACCACACGCAGCAGCGCGTGATCTAAAACAAAACTGGTCAACCCGATGTGTCTCATGCCCTCCTGCCCTTCTGCCCTCATTTCATTCCCTCATGCCCTGCTGCCCTGATGCCCTCCTGCCCTCATGCCATGCCCTCATATACCGGTGGAGCGCGTGCGTGCGCCTGTGTGTGCGAGAGGTCGGCGCAGCGGTCATGGTACATGTGGAAGAGGTCAACACACGCCACGCCTTGTTCATCACGATGCAGCATCACAAGCGCACAGCCCCGCCCCCCACACAACTCACATTGAAACCCGGGTGGCGGTCAATCTTCAGAAGCAGGTAGTACCCCCTCAGCTCCCCTTCATTCGCCAAACACGCCTCCAACTCCGCCACCTCCCCCTCCTCCCCGCCCTCGCCCTCGCTCGCCCGCGCTTGTGCGTGCGAGAGGTCAGCGCGGCGGTCATGGTACATGTGGAAGAGGTCGACACACGCCTTGTTCATCTGCTCGATGTTGAGGTGCGCGTCAAAGCCGTCGCTGAAGCCCTCGCCCTTGGGGTACTCGCACAGCTCGTGCATCGCCACTATGTGGAACCGCACCTGTGGTGGAAAGCAAGGGGGGAGGGGGAAGGCAAGATGCACTATGAGGAAGCAATGAAAACAATGAGACATAACGAGGCCCAATTGGGAACTCGCACAGCTCATGCATTTTCCACTATGTGGAACCAGGGACAGGGGGGGGAGGGGGAAGGAAGGGGAACGGGAAGAGCTAGGCAATAAATTGATATCAAAAACCCCTTTGAATGAAGTATTTCCACAGGTGATGCGCAGGCACTGATGCTATGGAAATGAAAAGAAAAAAGCTGTAATTCGCCTCTCAATCAATGGACCATCTATTTCCATCTGAGCGGAGCCAGCAGCCATGTCTCACCATCTGCTCGTGCATGTTGATGGCCTCGCGGCCAAACAGGTGTTGCATGCGCAGGTCAGCACGAACAGCCCTCATGCGATCCCACAGGAACGAGTGCAGCAGCAGCACCCGCATCCCCGGCCCCCCCTCGGCCCCCGGCCCCCCTGCCCCCCCTCCTTCCTCCCCCACTCCTTCCCCCTCCATCTCCCCCTCCTCCGCGCCCCCCTTGGCGGCGGAGGGCGGGGGGGGGAAGGGGACGTGCAGCAGGGAGAGCATGTGCGCCATGGTGGCGTGGAGGACGGGCATGGGGCGGATGAACGACGGGTCCATGTTGGGCGCGCGGGAGTACTGGGGGCGGAGAGGGGAAGGAGGGGTGGACGGGGGAGGAAGAGGGTAATGAGGATAAGGGGAGAGATGAGAGACGGGTCATGATGGGGGCGCGCGTACTGGGAAAGGGGAGGGGGGATGTGTTCTCTCCCTTGCATTCCTACCCTGCCTCCCTATGCCCACCCACACGTCCGCACCAACTTCTTCACCGCCAGCTGTGCACTTGTCTTGCCATGTTCCCCCTTCACTTCACACAAGTGCCTCATCTCCCCTTCACGCAAGTGCCTCATCTCCCCTTCCCCCTTCCCCTCTGCTCCGCACCCACCACCTCATATCAATCACATCCTACCTTTTTCACCGCCACCTGCACATTCGTCCTGCTGCGCTGCGGTCCCCATTAACTCGCTCAAACATGTTCAGCGCCTCTCTTCCCCTCTCCACCCTCTCCACCCTCTCCACCCTCTTCACCCTCTCCACCCTCTCCACCCTCTCCACCCTCTCCACCCTCTCCACCCTCTCCACCCTCTCCACCCTCTCCACCCTCTCCACCCTCTCCACCCTCTTCACCCTCTTCACCCTCTCCACCCTCTCACCCTCTTCACCCTCTCTCACCCTCTTCACCCTCTTCACCCTCTTCACCCTCTCACCCTCTCCACCCTCTCCACCCTCTCCACCCTCTCCACCCTCTCCACCCTCTCCACCCTCTCCACCCTCTCCACCCTCTCCACCCTCTCCACCCTCTCCACCCTCTCACCCTCTCCACCCTCTCCACCCTCTTCACCCTCTTCACCCTCTTCACCCTCTTCACCCTCTTCACCCTCTTCACCCTCTCCACCCTCTTCACCCTCTTCACCCTCTTCACCCTCTTCACCCTCTCCACCCTCTTCACCCCACCTTCTTGATCGCCAGCTGTGCATTCGTCTTGCTGCGGTCCCCGTTGACCCGCTCGAACACGTCCAGCGCCCCACTGCGCTCCCTCACCTCCCTCTCGTGCGCTGCGGGGGGAGGAGAGGGGGACGGGAAGGAGAAGAGGGGGGGGGAAGAGGGGGGACTATATGAGTCGATTTAAAAAGCTCCCCGCTAACTCCCTCACCTCCCTCTCATGCGCTGCAAAGGGGAGGAGGGAGGAGGTGGGGGAGAGGGGGGAAGGAAGGGGAGCTTTATGAGTCGGTCGACTCACAAAGCTCCGCGCACCGCTCCCTCGCTTCCTTCTCATGTGCTGGCTGGAGGGGATTGGGGAGAGTGGGGGAGGAAGTGGAAGATGAGGGGGAAAAAATCTGGGAGAGGGGGCTGAGGGAGGGGAGATGAGAGGGGGAGAAAGAAAAGCGGGGGTGGGGGGGAGTGGGAAGGGGGGGGAAAGAAGGGGGGAGGGAAGGGGATGGCTTACGAGCATACCAACCAACCGTCCGACTAATCAGCATGCATAGCAGTGCAAACAGAGACGCACATACCAGGGCACATGTCAGGGCATGTTCCCACAACGGCCTCCGCCAGCTGCCAGTCCGCCTCGTCCCCTGCCCCTTCCCCTTCCTCCATTCCCCCTCCCCCGCCCGCCGCCATCCCCACCCCTCCCCCTCCTCCCCGTCCTCCCCCCCGCCCCCCTCCGACATCTTCACCCCCTTCCCCGCCCTTCCCCCCATCCTTCCCCTCCTCCGCGCCATCCCCCAGCGCCACCTCCCCAAACCTCGCTCTGCGCCGCGCCAGCGCAGCAGCGTCCCCAAACAGGCTGGCGGAGGCGCCGCCGGGGGGGAGCGAGCGGGGGGGGGAGGGGGACTGCTGCGCGGATCTGGGGAGTGGCGGCGATGGGGACCGGTTTGCTGACGTCAGCGCGGGGAAGTCAGCTGGCGAACTGCGGAGCACAGGCGGAGAGGAAGCGGAAAAGGAAGGGGAGGGGAGGAAGGGAGCGAGTGTGAGCTGAGAAAGAGAGGGTAAATACGAGGCAGCAGGGGACGGCTGTGGAAATGACAGCGAGCATTGGCTGGCCAGTGCGACGCGACGAAGAGCACAATCAGAGAGAACTCACTTCAAATTGCTCGCCGGTTGTTGCTGCTGCAACTTCCCGCCTCCCCCCCACACAATGCTGGGCGCAGATCCGCCTCCCCCGGCTACAGCCTGCGCGCCTCCCCCCCATACAATGCTAGTAGGCGCGGATCCGCCTCCCCCGGTCGCGGCCTGCGCGCCTCCCCCTCCAACCGCGCCTCCCCCGGTCACTGCGCCGCCCCCAGCCACAGCCTGCGCCCACGAAACAGGTCCCACCGGCGTAAACGCTGCGGCCGTGCCCCTGCTGGCGAAAGGCGCCTGATTCTCCATGGTGAGCGGCGGAACCGGCGGAACCGGCGACGGCGGGGATGGCGAACCGGAAGGCGCAGCGCAGGACTACCTAATGACGCAGAATTAGGTTAACGGCTACCTATTCTTCGAGTCTCCACTCCCTTCGGCGGGCTCCCGTGCACCGAGTTCAGTGCGCCGATCCGCATTTCCGCTGCCGACGTTGACGATTTTGGCCCTATCGATACTGCCCGCATCCGCAGTGCCGAGCTACGTCGCAAGTCGTTTCGCTCTCACGTTGTTTTCCTTTTGCCGGCAAGAGCAAAGGACCACGGTTACGGAATTGAAGTCGTGACTCGAGAACGCGAGCATGGAGGATCATAGACCTAATTGGAGCCCCCAGTTATTCGCGTCGCGACGCGAGCCCACAAAGCCACACCCGAGAATCCTTTATCTGTTAAGGGGGGATTTACTGTTCACTTTGAACAGTACTTTCCAGCTCACCCTTATCCTTATCTTCTTAGATTTCCTAGTGCCACGTGGCACTCTACTTTCTTTGCTTCCAATTCCTAGTCCCACATTCTACTTTCCAACCTTCCTTCTTGCATGCTATATAAACCTTGCTTGTATTCCCTCATATCAACCAATTCTCATTCAACTCTTCTTCAATTACTCAGTAACTCCTTCGCCTATTTCGCTAGTAGTTCTTTCGCCAAAGTCTTCCGCCGCGCTTCATCCTCGACTTAGTCGACCCCGCTAATTCTTTAGCGGATTTAGGCCAGCGGGCCTAACACTTGGTATCAGAGCCTTCGCGGGGAGCGACTTCCAACGAGCGGCCGTCGACGACGAGACTACGACGTCATCGTCCCGCGGTGCCGACTTGCAGACTTGGAGTCGTCGAGCGAACATGGACGAATCCATGAACGCTTTCCCCCACGACATGGGCAACACGCTTGCCGAGCTCATGCGTCAACTCGAAGAATTGACGTTCGAAAATCGTCAGGTACGAGCCGAAATGCAACAACTTCGCAATTTGGCTTCTAACCCCCATGGCCTTGCCGCACCAACTCCTGCACCCACCACGTCGACTGGCGCGGAAGCGCTGCCGGAACGTCGAAGCGCGCTCAAGCCGCAGAAGCCCGAGTCGTTCGACCCAAGTCAACGCGACGCGAACGTGCGGACGTGGCTCTTCATGCTCAACAATTACTTCGCCGCGAGCGGGGTGCAAGAGGCGGACGCGCAGCAGCGGATCGAGTACGCCGTAACGCTGCTGAGGGGCCCGGCCTTGGAGTGGTGGCGCCAACTTACGCAGACTGCTGTACGGAGGGCTCAGTTAGACGGGCATCAACAGGGCGTGGGGCATGCAGCTGCAACTTCGAGCTTAGGGAGTCTAGCTTTGGGTGTTACCACGGTTCCGACCACATGGGAAGGATTTGAAGCGGCGCTGAAAAGTAGGTTCGATTTGGTGAACGCCTCCGAAGCTGCTAGGAAGCGTCTGCGTCATTTCCGACAGATAGGAAACGTCCAGGAGTACACACGACGGTTCTTGAGCATCTGCAACGAGATAGACGACATCACGGAAGCAGAGATGCGCGATCGCTACCTCGAAGGGTTGAAGCCGGACATAGCGGAGATTATTGCGATTCACGGGTTGTCCACCTTCGAGTCAGTAGTCGCAGCAGCAGAACGCGTCGACGCAGTACGAAGCCGACGGGGTCGTGACGATCAACGACGCTCGATCGAGGGACGGACCGTCGCCCATGGAGATTGGTGCAGTTAACAGTGACGGCTCACAGCGCAACGGATTTAGGGGGAACTGTCACTACTGCAAAAAGCCGGGACACATGAAGCGGGACTGCCCACAGTTCAAGGAGCGACAGCAGGGAAACGGAAACCGCCAGTAGATAGCGGGTCGCTAGCTGGCGTGGAGGTTCCCGTACCCGCCACGTCTACCAACGTAGAGGAGACGGCCTTGCAGCAGTCATCTACGGAGAACGAGGTAGACACTGTTGATCGTCCAGTCGTGCTTCTAGGGAAGCTTCGCGGAGTTCCTGTTAAGATTCTCGTCGATAGCGGAGCTAGCCACTCGTTCGTTTCGTCTTCATTAGTTAGCCGTCTCCATCTTGAAGCAGATTCCTCAGTCAACTTCAAGGACGCTCGCATGATAGATGGGACGCCTCTCCACATAGGACCAGTCATTCGCAAGTTGCGCGTAGTGCTAGGACCGATCACAGTTAGGCGTGACTTCGACTCTGCGACGCTGGACGGTTACGATTTCATCTTCGGGAGAGATTGGCTACGGACGGTTAGTACTCAGTTCGATTGGGCTCAGGGAAGTTGCAGCTTCAAGGTAGACGGGGAGTTCCGGGAGCTGCCACAGTGGAGCGATGGGGCCACATCATCCACAGCGATCATCAATGCTGTTCGTGTGCGACAGCTGGTGAAGCGAGCGGCACGGATCTTCGCGGTTTTCCTTGAGGAGGTGGAAGCTGAGGAGGGGAAAGGAGGGAGCGCAGCAGTTAGTGAGAAGGCGACTCTTCCTGCTGAGGTGAGTGCACTGTTAGCGGAGTTCGCAGACGTCTTCCCCGACGAGTTGCCCCCAGGGTTACCTCCTAGCCGAGCAGTCGACCATCGAATAGAGTTGGAGCCGGGGAGCAGGCCAGTAGCAAAGCCGCAGTGGAGGTTGAGTCCAGCAGAGACAGAGGAGATGACGCAGCAGGTTAGGCACTTTCTCGCACAGGGGTTCATACAGCCATCTAGATCGCCTTGGGCCGCACCGATCCTTTTCGCGCCTAAGAAAGACGGAGGGTTACGGATGTGCATAGATTACCGCGCACTGAACGCCGCCACCGTCAAGAACAGATTCCCGGTGCCGAGAGTAGAGGATCTTCTAGATGCAGTGCAGGGCGCTAGAGTCTTTTCTAAGATCGACCTTCGTTCGGGTTACCACCAGATTCGCGTAGTTCCAGAGGACCAGCACAAGACGGCGTTTCGTACGAAGCAGGGTTGTATGAATTTAGGGTTCTACCGTTCGGACTGACCAACGCCCCAGCGACGTTCCAGACGCTTATGAACACCGTCCTCTCCGAGTTCCTAGGTTCGTTCGTTGTCGTTTACCTAGACGACATACTCATCTTTTCCAAGTCGAAAGAGGAGCACGTGCAGCACTTGCAGAGGGTCTTTGAGGTCTTGCGGAGGGAGAAGCTGTACGCGAAGCAGTCGAAGTGCGAGTTCTTTCTCCCCGAGGTCGAGTTCCTAGGACACGTCGTATCCGCTAGTGGCGTTAGGACCGACCCGAAGAAGATCGCAGCGGTACAGGATTGGGTAGCACCGACCTCAGTCAAGGAGTTGCAGAGCTTTCTCGGATTCGCGAATTACTACCGTCGTTTCGTTCAGGGTTACGCTTCCATCGCTAGTCCACTCACCGACCTACTTCGGAAAGGCGTAGAGTACGTTTGGGGTCCAGCGCAGCAGCAGGCGTTCGAGCAGATGAAGCAGTCGCTCACGTCTTCACCGACACTGTCGTACCCTGATCCCACTCGCCCGTACGTTGTAGTGACCGACGCTTCCGATCAGGCCATAGGAGCAGTACTTCTTCAGGACCAGGGACGCGGGTTGCAGCCGATCGCGTACGAGTCGCGTAAGCTTAGGGGAGCGGAACTGAACTATCCGATACACGACAAGGAGGCGCTAGCGATCATCCATGCGTATAAGGTGTGGAGGTGCTACCTAGAGGGGGCAGACAGTGTTATACGCACGGACCACTGCTCGCTTCGCTTTCTCAAGTCGCAACCGCAGCTGAGTCGTCGCCAGGCTAGATGGATGGAGTTCATGGAGGGGAGCTTTCATTACAGGATAGAGTACAAGCCAGGCGTGCGCAACCCAGCAGATCCGCTCACTCGCCCTAGTTGTCAGCTCGCTAGCCTCACAGTCACTGCAGGCCATCCACTTCTCACAGCACTCTTCGAGCACGGTTACACAGTAGATCCCGACTTCACACTGCAGTCGCCCGCAGGAGCAGAGGTGCAGGGTAGTGTTTACATACGGAAGGGCACCACACGGATTTGGGTTCCAGCCTACCGCCCTCTTCGACAGCTCCTTCTCTCAGAGGCGCACGACGTAGTTAGTGCAGGTCACTTCGGAGCAGACAAGACGGCTAAGACGCTTAGTCGCACGTACTACTGGCCAGGGCTTGCAGCAGACGTAGAGGATTACATTCGCTCGTGTGACACGTGTCAGCGTACGAAGTCCTCGCGACAGCGCAAGGCAGGACTTTTGCAGCCGATTCCACCGCCCGACCGCCCTTGGCAGGTAGTTACCATGGATTTCATCATGGCATTACCGCGCACAGTTAGGGGTCACGACGCGATCTTCGTGGTAGTGGATAAGTTTTCTCGAGCAGCGCATTTCATCCCCACGCACGGTCAGGTCACAGCAGAGGAAGCCGCGACGCTGTTCGTAGATAACGTAGTCCGACTGCACGGGGTTCCCGATTCCATCATTTCCGATCGCGACCCTAGATTCACCTCGAAGTTCTGGAAGCAGCTTTTCGCACTGTTTGGGACTCGCTTAGCCATGTCGTCTGCGTACCATCCAGAGACAGACGGACAGACTGAGCGCGTGAACCAGACCTTGGAGCAGATTCTTCGTAGCATCACGATGCACGACGCAGCCGCATGGGACAAGAAGCTGAGCATGGCTGAGTTCGCCTACAACAACACGCATCATTCCGCCACAGGCATGTCACCGTTCTTTGCACTGTACGGTCAGCACCCCAATGTCCCCACTCGTGTCGATCTCACACCCACTGTCCCTCGTGCGGACAACTTCCACCAGCACCTCACCTTCATTCACGACCACGTGAGGAAGCACCTTGAGCTCGCAAATGCACGCATGGCACGCACCACCAACCGCAGTCGTCGTGAGGTGTCATTTTCTGTTGGGGACCGTGTCCTTCTCGACAGCCGCAACCTCCGACTGCCACAGGACAGCAAGCTTCGCCCACGTTTCATTGGTCCATTTGTCATTGAGCGCGCACTTGGTCCAGTCGCATACCGCCTTCGCCTTCCCGCTCATTTCCGCATGCACCCATCATTCCACGTGTCTCTCCTTCGGCCTTACACCGATCCCAACGCCACCTTCTCGGGCCGTGATCGCACTCCACTGCCGGTAGCTGTTGACACCGACGAGCCCGACTACCAGATCCAGCGCATCCTCAGGCACCGTCGCCGTCTGCAGGGAGGTGTCTCTTTCATCGACTTCTTGGTTCGTTGGCGTGGTTACGATGCAGCCGACGACAGCTGGGTTCCTTCGTCCTCGCTGTCTCCCGACAACGCTTGCCTCCGAGCGTACCTTCAGTCTGCAGGCGCCGCGGACGTCGCCTCCTTGGGAGGGGGGTAGTGTTAAGGGGGGATTTACTGTTCACTTTGAACAGTACTTTCCAGCTCACCCTTATCCTTATCTTCTTAGATTTCCTAGTGCCATGTGGCACTCTACTTTCTTTGCTTCCAATTCCTAGTCCCACATTCTACTTTCCAACCTTCCTTCTTGCATGCTATATAAACCTTGCTTGTATTCCCTCATATCAACCAATTCTCATTCAACTCTTCTTCAATTACTCAGTAACTCCTTCGCCTATTTCGCTAGTAGTTCTTTCGCCAAAGTCTTCCGCCGCGCTTCATCCTCGACTTAGTCGACCCCGCTAATTCTTTAGCGGATTTAGGCCAGCGGGCCTAACATTATCAAACATCTGTGGTATAGTGTAGAGTCTGATATTAGCTGGAAACTGTTCACCATGGTTCAGCAGTCTTCCTAAGGTGTTCCTGTAGTCGTTAAAGCTTTTGTATACATTTGAAAGAGGGAGGTTCAAAAGTTTTGAGATTTGAAAGATTGGTAACCCTATTACAGCTAGTACACTCGCTGAACAATGGAGGGAGATCCCCCGACACCTAGCACTCACGGGTGTTTCAAAACTTTTGATTTGACAAAAGTATACGAAATCCAGCCTCTGTGAGATCTACGCCAATACACTCTACAGGCACCAAATTCGTAGCCAAGCACATCGCAACTCAACAGCCAGCGCAAAGTACCCCCGTTTTCGACATAAACCTAGACGCGTGGGGCGGTTTAGTATAATTATAGGGTAAAGTCAACGTCAGTTCTGCCCTCTCACGCGGCGATCCCGCCGGACCTTCCCTCACGGCCTCGCCTCGTCGTCCGTCGTATCGCCTCACGACGCTGCCTCGTCATGCCACCGTGAACGCTCACGACGCTTCTCAAACTGCCGAACACGCATGAGAGCAGTCGCGGCTCGATCGCACAGCCTCGCTACCACGTTTCCGCACTAGCCCCGGCAGCCGCACTTGAGGTCGCGAACGACTGCAGAAACTTGAGCTCCCAACCCCATCCCGCCTCCCCGTTTCCCCTTTCTGCTCCCCATTACCCATTCCCGCCTCTCCGTTTCCCCTTCCCTCCCCCCCTTTACCCCTTTCCGACTCCCCGTTTCCCCTTCCCGCTCCCCGCTACCCTTCCCGCCTCCCCGTTTTCCTTTCCCGCTCCCCATTACCCCTTCCCGCCTCTCAGTTTCCCCTTCCCGCCTCCCCAATTCCCTTCCCGCCTCATCGTTTCCCCTTCTCGCCACCCCAATTCGCGTTCCCGCCTCCCCGTTTCCCCTTTCCCCTCCCCTTTTACCCCTTCCCGCCCTCCCCGTTTTCCCCTTCCCGCCTCCCCAATTCCCCTTCCCGCTCCCCATTATCCCTTCCCGCCTCTCCGTTTCCCCTTCCCGCCCCCCATTACCCCTTCCCGCCTCCCCGTTTCCCCTTCCCGCTCCCCGTTACCCCTTCCCGCCTCCCCGTTTTCCTTTCCCGCTCCCCATTACCCCTTCCCGCCTCCCCAATTCCCCTTCCCGCCTCCCCGTTTCCCCGTCCCGCGCCGCATTTCCCCTTCCCGCCTCCCCGTTTTCCCCGTCCCGCTCCCCGTTTCCCCTTCCCGCCTCCACGTTTCCCCGTCCCGCTCCCCGTTCCCCTTCCCGCCTCCCCGTTTCCCCGTCCCGCTCCCCGTCCCCCTCCCCTCCCGCCTTCCCGTTTCCCTTCCCGCTCCCCATTTCCCCTTCCCGCCATCCCGTTTCCCCTTCCCGCCTCCCTAATTCCCGTTCCCGCCTCCCCATTTCTCCTTCCCGTGCCTCCCCGTTTCCCCCTCCCTCTCCCCGTTCCCCCTTCCCTCTCCCCGTTTCCCTCCCCGTTCCCCTCCCCCCCCCCCCCCCCCCCCCCCCCTTCCCCGCCCGCCATCCCCCCGTTTCCCTCCCCGCCTCCCTAATCCCCTTCCCGCCTCCCCCAATTCCCGTCCCCCGCCTCCCCATTTCCCCTTCCCGCTCCCCGTTCCCCTTTCCGCCTCCCCGTTTCCCCTTCTCGCCTCCCCAATTCCCGTCCCGCCTACTCGTTTCCCGTTCCCGCTCCCCGTTTCCCCTTCCCGCTCCCCGTTCCCCCTTCCCGCTCCCCATCTTCTTCCCGCCCACCCCCGTTCCGACCCTTCCCCTGCCCCAGGCAATCCATTCCATCCCCTCCCATCCCATCCCCTTCCAACCCCTCCCATCCCATCCCCTCCCACCATCCCCTTCCATCCCCTCCCATCCCATCCCCTTCCAACCCCTCCCATCCCATCCCCTTCCATCCCCTCCCATCCCATCCCCTTCTAACCCCTCCCATCCCATCCCCTTCCATCCCCTCCCATCCCATCCCCTTCTAACCCCTCCCATCCCATCCCATCCCCTCCCATCCCATCCCCTTCCAACCCCTCCCGTCCCATCCCCTTCCAACCCCTCCCATCCCATCCCCTTCCATCCCCTCCCATCCCATCCCCTTCCAACCCCTCCCATCCCATCCCCTTCCAGCCCCTTCAATCCTCTTCCAGTCCCTCCCACCCCGGCAATAGGACAGCTAGAGGGTGTGTTGAATCGTATGCATGCCCCCTAATGGCCTCCTCCCTGTACTGCCAATCTCCTTATTTGCGTGACATTCACACAGTCCACCCCATCCTGGCCCTCCCGTTCCCTTCCCGTCGTTCTCTGCATCCTGGGCATCCTCTATTGGCGTCCCCAGCTTCTACTCAGGAAAATGGGTTTCCAAAGAAATTTCTTTTATGTTTTTAGTGTAATGGGAAATGAGACATCGTTACACCAAGCTTGTTGAAGTGCACATACCGTAATCACCCGGACATACCACCCGCCGAAATAGAACACCCTCCGGGTGGCTTGTGCGTGGGGGGGTGCTATAGCGGACCTCGTTTCTACTATACCCCCCTTTTGGGCCGATCCGGTATAAGACCCGGGGGGGGTGTTATGTACGGAAAAATTTGCTGTTTTCGCCTAAATTTTGCACAGGGACGTGACCGCACCAGCGAGGCTGCTAAGCCTGTTGCGGGACTCCCGCCTCTGTGACTGCATGAATCCTCGTCGAGCGACGGGGGGTGTGTTTTCGACCAATCAGGGCATGACAGAGGGCCTGTTGGAGCTTGCAATGTGGCAGCTTCCACTCGAGGCTAAGGGCGTGTGCACTAGGAGTTTGAACTTCTGTCTAAGTTCAAACTTTTAGCGAGGTTCTACTCGGTGCAAAGCGGTGAATGTTCGAACTTTGACAAATTTCGCCCAAAGTGCACACGCCCTAACGGTATCGCCTCATCCTCGGTTTTGCGCACCCAACCAACAATCTACCACCGCAGCAAGCATGTACATTTTGTTCCCAACCGTTTCTGCTTTTAAAAAAATGTACATTATAAAAAGACCCGGGTGTTATGTAGCTTTTTCCCATGACAAGACCCCCCCCCTTTTTTTGATGTAGTTATCATAGCACCCTAGGGTGGTATGTCCGGGTGATTACGGTACCTAAATGGCCAATGAAACTCATAAAAGTTCCTAATACCGTACAACAAAGCCGTCAATTACGCATGAGATTTGAATCACAACTAGAAGCCGTCAACTAAGCAAGGATATGCCGCACGTGCTGCCTGCTCCTGTCGCATGCCTGGCATTGGTGTGCAGCAGAGGGGAGCGAGACGGTGTGGGCCGCTTGGTGGACTTGCTAGTGAGAGGAGTGGGGGGATTGGGACGGAGGAAGGGGACGAGGAAGGGGAAAAGGGGGCACATTTGACAGAGCTCAAGCTAAGCTTGGAGAACTGATAGTGGGGAGATACAAATCACTTGACTGGCATGCAACCCTAATAAATTACCCAGCATGCATGCCTCACCATGCCACCACGGGAACACACAGAGTACCAGAGTGCCATTACTGATTCAAATGGCGTGAAAGACCGTGTGTGAGCCCGAAGGTTTGCGATGGAACACACACAGTACCTGCGGTGTTTGAAACGGGGGTCCAAAGTCTAGCCCTCTGCCCGAAGGTTGTAGTTGTGGGGTCTCGTGCCTGAGGAAGGAATACTGGCAGAGGCAGCAGGGGCAGCTCTGGCAATGGCAGCAGCAGCGACAGTAGGGGCAGGGACAGACGAAGCAGGCACAAAGAGAGAGGTGCACGAGTGGCCGCATTCGTGTCTGAGCCGAAAAAACTGGTACGGAGCAAGGAAAGGGTGGGCATGAGAGGGGTGGGGATGGGTGTGGGCATCGGAAGGTGGGCATGGAGATGGGAGAGCGTGGAAGGGAGAATGGAAAGGAGGGAGTGGGGAGCATCACGAACAATGGAACCACCCTGTAAGGAGGGGGAGCAAGGAGGGGGAAAGAAGGGGAGAAGGGGGGAAAATGAACGGGTGAAGGGGGGAAATGAGAGGGAAGCGGGGAAGTGAGAGGGAGAAGGGGGGAAAAATGATAGGGAGAAGGGCGGGAATGAGGGTGGGAATGGGGAGAAGTGAGAGGGAGAAGGGGGGCAAGTGAGGGACAGCAGGGGGAGAACTGATGGCGAGAAGGGGGGGGGCTGAGAGGGAGCAAGAGGGGAAATGAGAGGGAGAAGAGGGGGGGGGATGAGAGGGAGAAAAGGGGGATTTGAGAGCGAGAAGGGGGGATTTGGGAGGGGAATGGGGGGAAATGAGAGTGAGCAGGAGGGGAAATGATGGTGAGAGGGGGGGAGCTGAGAAGGAGCAAGGGGGGAAATGAGAGTGAGCAAGGGGGGAAATGAGAGTGAGCAAGGGGGGAAATGAGAGTGAGCAAGGGCGGAAGTGAGAGTGAGCAAGGGGGGAAATGAGAGGGAGTAGGGGGGGAAGTGAGAAGGAGCAGGGGGAAATGAAGGGGAGCAGTTGGGGAAATGAGAGGGAGACGGGGGGATTTGAGGACAAGAAGGGGGGGGATGAGGGGGTGAAGGGGGGGGATGAGAGGGATTAGAGCGGGATTTGAGAGTGAGAACGGGGGAAATGAGGGGGAGAAGGGGGAGAAGGGGGAGAAATGAGGGGGAGAGGGGGGGGAAATGAGGGGGAGAAGGGGGGGAAATGAGGGGGAGAAGGGGGGTTAATGAGAGGGAGAAGGGGGGGAAATGGGAGGAAGAAGGGCGGGAAATGAGGGGGAGAAGGGGGGTTAATGAGAGGGAGAAAGGGGGGAAATGGGAGGAAGAAGGGCAGGAAATGAGGGGGAGAAGGGAGGGTAATAAGAGGGAGAAAGGGGCGAAATGAGATAGAGGAGGGGGGGAAACGAGGGGAGCAGGTCGGGAAATGAGAGGGAGAAGGGGGGGAAATGAGGGGGAGAAGGGAGGGGGAATGAGGGGGCGAAGGAGGGGGGATAAGGGATAAGAGCGCGTGAGACGCGCAGCATGTGAGGCGCGCAGCGCGTGAGGCGCGCAGCCCGTGAGGCGAGTCGCATGTGAGGCGAGATTAGGGACATGTGGTGCGGGAGACGCGAGGTGAGTGTCTCGTGCTAAGAGTGGCGAGCAGCGGGTTACACGAGAAGCGGGTGACGCGCTAAAGCTGAGAGGCGAGCAGCGGGTGAGGCGAGCAGCGGGTGAGGCGAGCAGCGGGTGATGCGAGCAGCGGGTGATGCGAGCAGCGGGTGATGCGAGCAGCGGGTGATGCGAGCAGCGGGTGATGCGAGCAGCGGGTGATGCGAGCAGCGGGTGATGCGAGCAGCGGGTGATGCGAGCAGCGGGTGATGCGAGCAGCGGGTGATGCGAGCAGCGGGTGATGCGAGCAGCGGGTGATGCGAGCAGCGGGTGATGCGAGCAGCAGCGGTGATGCGAGCAGCGGGTGATGCGAGCAGCGGGTGATGCGAGCAGCGGGTGATGCGAGCAGCTGGTGATGCGAGCAGCGGGTGAGGCGAGCCGTGGGTGAGGCGCTAAGCTGTAAGCTGGTCAGGCGCGCAGCGGGGTAGGCGAGAAGCGGGTGACGTGCTAAGAGGGTGTCGCGAGCTGCTTGTTTGGCGAGAATCTCGCCGGCGAGGACAACGAATGGATCGCGGCGAGCCCGCCTAATGCTATTGGATGATCCAGACGGCGCTGGAGCTGAAGGGGGTTGGCGGGCACAAGACGGTCCTTGTCGTGGCTACGTGTGCAATCTAACACTATGTGAGTGGTTGCGCTGTTCAAGTCACTGCCTCGTCGCCTCCCGTATAGTTCTATCTAGGCCTCGTTCTTAGTAACATCGCGACTTTATTTTCTATCTGTGAGCGCCATTTTGTAGTTTGGGTGATTGGAGGGTTTGTGTGGTTGTAATTTGCTCCAATCGAGTCCAGCTAACGCCGAAGGAATATCCATGGTATCTCGAAGACCAAAAGGCGGCAGGCTCGGTAGGGGACATTTTTCGAGCCAAGCCCAGCCTTTCTTTTTTTTTATTTTTTAACCGGGAAAAAGGAAGAAAAAAACACAAGACACAACATCAAGAAAACCCCAATAGCACACACAATTGAAACCCGATCAAACCATCCCATCAAAACACCCCAACTGCACTCCCATCGAACCAAAACCCCCCCTAAACCCACCCTCTAAACCCGCATGTCTACCAAGTAGGGTGCATCCGCCCACGGAGCATCCCATCCCATCTCCTCCTCAACATCCTCCCGCTCCACCCAAACAGCCTCTGGACCTCTCATCATCGACGCCGCGCGTAACAAGATCACACGCGCCTGAGCCCGCTGCAAAGCCACACCCACGGCCGCTTTGAGTGAACCGAGCAAATAAGCCGAGAAACCCTTTCCCGTAGCTCGCGCCGCCCCTTTCGTCTTTGCTATCTCGATCTGCGCGTCACCCTGCTTCTTAAGCCACCGTCCAAAACTCCCCCCCAAGCATCCCCATGTCTCAGCAATGAGAGGTGTGAACTGCACTCCCCTATGCCGCTGTAGAAGCGATTTGTAGTCCGCCGCCTTCCGCTTTTCTCTCTCTCTCGCGGCAAAACCCACCTTGCGCCCAATCTGTCCATGGTGCTGCGCGGATAGCGAGATAGGGTCTACCACACTAACCTCCAACGCGTGCTCCTCCCCCTCCCTCTGTTTCCGAACCGCCACATCAACCCTCTTCCCTGGGAGCAACGTGTCGTCTTCCATGGTCACAATCCCACCCGCACCCTTAGCTATCTTCGCCACCACAAACTTAACCGCATCGTGAACACGAGAAGGTGCATACTGATACTTGCAGCGAAGGGCATGATGCGGGTCAGAGGGATCAGCAAACTCAAACCCACACGCGCACTTGCCGGCCACTATCAGCTGCTGTATAGGGAGGCCTAAGCGCATGGACGCGCAGATGCTCCACTCGGCTGCGGTGAAGGTAGCCTCCTCGTGCGAAGGAACGGCAGAAACCCACGCCCCAGCCCCCGGGCCCTGAAGGGATGTCAAACGGGCCAAGGTGGCATCGTTGTGGGCCATGCCTCGAAGAGATTGAAGGCTCTCAACCGCTAGGCGACGGTGTTGTGTGGAGAAGAGCAGCACAGGGGGGTCAGCAGTGCACAAGGCAAGGGGTGGCATCTCCTGCCGGACCGACTGTGGAAGCAGATCCACTGCTCTCGCAAACCAGGGGTCCAACAAGGTCGTAGCCTCGGGCGTGCGGAAAAA